CTGGGAATATAAAATCACAAAAAATGTACAAACAAAACTGACAGTTCCCAAATGCTTGTTGACAGTTGTGAGTAATTGGCGCTGGTATTTAAAATAGACGAATCACATCAAAGACCAGGAAGAAAGAGAAAGTAATAGATAAAACGGTTCATATTAGCTTCAAACACATCCAGACCGTTACTTATCTATTATTCATTTGTTTATCTGAGGTAAGAAATTACTGTTTTGCACATATTACATTTAACAATTTGTTTTTGTCATCTACCACCGAAAAAAAAATTCAAATATTATTTTCTATAATTTTTATTCCATACAAAATTTTCCTTGAATGGTCCGTATTCGAGAAATTTGACAAAATGTAAAAAATATAAATTTTTTATGAAAAGTGTTTAAATAAGATTTGTTTGAGATATAATTCTCTATAATTCTTGCCACTTACATAATTTCTCTAAAATGGACCGTTTTCGATATATTTTAAAGAAAACTCAAAAACGGATAAAGAAAAAACATACAATTTTAAACTTAAGCTTTATTACGCCCTGAGGTGAACAGATTAGATTTTGGGCAGAGTCGGAACATCTGGGGGGTACTTTATAGGAAGTCGTTTTTACATCTTATAAAATATATCAGTTATTTATGTTAGGAGAAGAAAATTGTTTATATAAAAGTTACTCCTTATATTATTCTCTATAATTTTGGTTCCATACAAAATTTTCTTAAAATGGTCCGTATTCGAGAAATTTTACAAAATGTAAAAAAATCAAATTTTTAAGAAAATTGTTCAAATAAAAGTTGTTTGTGATTTTCTACAATTCTTGTTCCTTAATAATTTCTCTAAAATAGACCGTATTCGAGATATTTGAGAAAATGTAAAAATTTCGAATTTTGAGGAAAACTCAGAAACGGATAAAGAAAAAACCTTATTTTAAACTTATGCTATATTCCAGTCTGAGGTAAACTGATTAGATTTTGGACAGAGTCGGTACATCTGGAGGATACTTTATAGAAGGTCATTTTTATATATTATGGAATATATCTGTTAGAAGAAAATTGTTCAAATAAAAGTTACTTCTTATATTATTCTCTATAGGGCCTGAAAGTGTTGGAAACATCAGATTTTTTTTTTACATAATATACAAATTCAATAATCTCCTATGTATAAATTACCAATATGTAGGGACGACGGTTTCAAGTAACACCGGGCGCAAAAATGCCTTAAACCGGCACTAGTGTACCTTAGTCTATAGTCCTTCCAATATCAATTGCAGAACACAGTTATGTGGGGAATCATCAATATTTAATATAAACGCACGGTACTCATGCCAAATATAGAAACGAAAAATAATGTTTACTCCTCTTATACAATGCGGTAAATATTAAAGGAACGGTCAGTCAACGTGTACTTGATATATATGTGTCAAAATCCATCATCTCTGTTGTTAACCAATGAAAACATCGAATCGTAAACTTAAATGCACTGTATTGGCCGAAGGTTTACGAAGGAAGGAGTGTTCGAAAATATTCCTGGAAGACAGTCTGCGATATCAGTGGAGTACTGTCGTGCGGTGTGTTTTGTATGTGAGGTTGGTTTAATTTAAATTTCTTTTAATAAATATAAATATGACGTTCTTTAGACCGTGGGCGAATGAAGAAAATGAAATTGCACAATGTAGTGAGATTAAAGACAGGTATGACTTTAACAATAAGGATTTAGATATACAAACACAACAAGTTATTTTAAATATATTCGAATGTTTAAAAAAGGAAAATATTCAGCAGTCTGATAATGCGATCATAATAAGAATTGCTGAATTAACTAAAGTAAATAAATGTTCCATTTATCGGGTAGTCACAAAAGGGGTTGCTGTGGATCATTCACAAAACCGAAAAACATGTAAAGAAAAACTGAAATCAGTTGACAGAGCTACCCAAGAATTTATACGAAGGACAATTTATAGTTTATATAAGGAGAACAGGGTTCCAACATTGGAAGTAATACAGCAAAAGGTAGCAGATTTTCCAGGATACACTTATACCAGTTTGGAAACATTGCGTCAAGTTTTGTCAGCACATGGTTTTAAACACAAAAAAATGAATAAACGGATGGCAATCAACGAATCGTCAAGGATAGTTCAATGGCGACAATATTATTTGCGTCAGATAAAAGAGTACAGAAGTTCTAATAGACATATAATTTATCTAGATGAAACATGGTTTGACAGTCACGATGTAGTAAATTTCGGTTGGGTTGACAGTAGTAAAAATTGCTGTTTGAATGGGCCATGTTCTAAAGGGAAACGTATTATAATAGTACACGCTGGAAGCAAAGACGGTTTCGTGCCTAATGCTTTATTATTATCTGTTAAACAAACTAAAAACTGTGCAGCTGATTATCATGAAGATATGACAGCAGAATTATTTGAAAAATGAACAGCTCTTACCTAACATTCCACCAGTCAGTAATCGTTATGGACAATGCATCCTACCACTCACGGCAACTCCTTAAAATACCAAATAGTAGCAGTAACAAAGCTCAAATTTTAGCGTTTATGTCTGAAAAAAATATTCCTATTCCTGCCAGTGATCGTAAAAAAGGCCCAACAAACAAAGAATTGCTTACTCTTATTAAAGGCATGAAGTTGGAAAAAATTTATTATATTGACAAGCTGTGCAAAGAACAGGGTCATACTTTTCTCAGACTACCTCCTTACTATTGCATATTTAACCCTTTAGAGTTAATATGGGCAAACGTAAAATCAGAATTACGAAAATGTAATCAGTCTCCAGAACTGAGGAAAGAGGTTGTAGAACTCGTAAAGAAAGTTCTAGCAGCAGACCGCCAAGAGCTTTGGAAAAAAACTGCGTTGAACATGTTATTAAAGAAGAAGATGAGTATGTAGTATTACTCTCTTTACAATCCATCATAATTCAACCAAATGATGACTCTAGTTCAAAGGATTCAGACTGCCATGATTATTTATAAAGATACTTTAGAATTGAATTGTTTTTTTTCTTTTGTTTTATTTGCAAATAATTTATTTTCCTTTATGGTTTTTGCTTTGAAATTTCGTTTTCCAGAAAAAAAAACCGAATGGGTACAAAAACGGCTCAGTTCACGTCTGGTACCCTGTTTAAAGCAAACGCCCTTACAGGCAGGTACACTTTACTCGCTGTTTTACGTTTTATAATTTAATATTCAGTTGTAGCAAGTTAACGAGCTATAATGATTTTTTTAAGTCCAAGTAAGACTACAATTAAGTGCATCTGTCTAAATCAAGGCGTATAATAACGTCCAATTTATAATGATTCGATTTCCTTTTAACGAATACTTTCTTGCATATGATATATATTAAAAGTATTTATAAAATAAATTTATAAAATGAGGTAGGTATCTACGCCTATGGCAGATCAAACAAAATTGTCGGTAAAGGTTCCGAACGAGTTTTTATGTTCTGCAATTGATAATGGAAGAACTATAATTATTTAGTTACACTACCATTAACGTATAATACTAAATCGCACTATACTCTGCTTGTATCTAATATTGCTGAAATAACTCAAAGGGCTTGGTTCTCTTGAGTCTTCTTATTAGTCTGGAATTATTGAGGAGCTGGATAACCTAAACGTTTCCTCGTTGAAGCGGTCGTTATTGGTGACTACTGACATTTTTTTCTATTGTATTTTCAACAGTCTCCACTTTAAGGTCTCTAAGAAGATCAGTATTACGGTAGCATTAGTATTATTTTTAGCATAACTTTTTCTCTGAATTTAGGCACTTTTATAGATTTCTTCTTTATAAATTGAATAACTTATTATATAGCTTCTGGAGCAATGTTGGTAGAGCAACTTAAATTTATTATTATAATTATAAATCTCTTCCAGACTCTATCTTTCACCATTCAGTAGGAAGTACTCGTACATTTTCTCTAAAAAGAATTATAAAATATTTACAATATAATCTATTTAAGCCTTTTTCAATATTTAGAAATGAAATACAATCCGTCTTTTTGTATAAAATTATTTTTGGCTTTAGCCATTTTCATTGCTAATTTTTAGAAGATACAATATACTCTTTTGAGTAGGTAGTTTATATGTTAAAAAAACATTTTCTTTCCAGGGAACACTAAGATTTATTTTACTTTGTTAAGGAGGATAGTATTGCATTAATTTTGTTTTATTTAATCACTAAGTTTAAAATGTATCAATAATTTGTATTAGCTATTACATAATTTACTTATTGTATAACTTACTTCAAGACGGACCAAGTTGAGAATTTAATAAAATAGAAATTGCTTCCACTTTCCTGGCGGAATTCATAACAAAATCATATTTTATAAAATGTTTCTAATATATTTTAGAATTTTTGTTAATTTTATTAAATTCAATACAGCATTATATGTATTGCAAAGGTACGAACAATTTAGCACCGTCATAGCATCTCCTCTTGATTCTATCTCAATGTTTCTTATCTGTATCTCATTTGTTTTATCTAAGGATTTTCCACATAGTGGGATTTTCTAACTTCAATGTTTACCGAAATCTAGCCGTAGGACAGGATTGGAACCATGAAGGCTTTTAATCAGAACATAGACTATTGTAACATATAAAAAAGTCAGATAATTTAACCGTTATTCCGTATGTCTAAGAAAAGTACAGGGTCGACCACATTAAAGATTATATGTATTTATAGAAGTTTTTTTATAATAATACAAACAAATGAAATAATTTTCAGATACTAGAATGTTGACTGATCCGTTGTTGAATTTTTACAAGAGAGTTTGAAAGCATAAATCGTTCGCCTAATATCCACGCAATTGTCCAAGGCTAGCTTTTTGGAGCACTATTATTTAATCATCTGTTTTATAAAATATTAAATTTTTATTTTCCAATCTACATCAATATTATTTATATCATATTTTTTTTTTATAAAATAAGTCTAGAACATAAATAAAACTTTGAAAGCCAACGAAATATCTAAAACCATTTACTTGAGATCAGTAGTTCGAAAGGCGTCAGCTGTTACAAAAATAGTTTCAGCTATTTCAGACTCGCATTCTGAAAATGTCTGTCGCACTCAAAAACGACTATCGCGAAAATATCTACGAATCTTAATCTGAACACGAAAAAAAAAAAAACTCGAGGTTTTTCGATATAAGTGGATAGAAAATTTTGTAAAAGTTTCGGAAGTGTGTAGATTTGTGATTTTTATTGAATTAATTTGTGATTTTGTGATATTGAAAAAAGACTTTTGGATTTTACGATTTTGAAGGTAAGCATTGATATGTGTTAATTTGGGTAGTTATAAATAAGTGAATCTCATGTAATTGTTATTTGCAAATTTTAGATTTTTCCTCTACATAATTTTTATGTAATATTTGGTTTGAAGTTTTTAAATGAAATTATGTAGAATATTTTTAATTTTCTCTCCTAGGTTTTATAATAAGCAGTGATTATCTTTTACGTATTTTATTTGAAGTTCTTGAAATTTGTGAATTCAACATTTTTATAGTGTAGCGCGTAGTATTTTGGTATAATAAAATCATTTTCAATTATATTTAGTGAAGAAGAAGGTTTGTGAAGATATAAGGGAACAGAGGGGATAACAGGTTTTTTGATGAAATTTAGAAAAGGTTAATAGATATACTGTAAGAAAATTATCATAGGTATTTTAAAAATGTTCTACAATAATCATCTATTTAAATAAAATATATTATAATGACAACTTTTTGACAATTAATTTGATATCGACTTTATCGCACTCTTGTGATAAAATAAATATACCAAAAAAGTTATAATAAAAAAACAATAATATTAATGATAATAATAAATTCGTCTTTTTTAATAAATTGTACCAACAGGGGCAGTTTAGTTACAAGCTATTTTTACATTTAACCTAAAAGTACAAAATAGAAGTATAATTAAATATATAAAAAATATTTAATTTCAATAACTAAAAAGTATACTGACAATTAGTTTGACAGAATTTATTACACGGAACATTTTCTGTTTTGGAATAAATACCGCCAACTTTATACTAAAAGATACACATTTTACAACTAATTTTTAATCGAGGGCTGCTATATGAAAAAAACTTAGACTACTATTATTCTTTGCTTCAATTTTTATTTACATAAAATTATAAAAATAATCTCCAAGTATTTTTTTCACCTTTGAGGTTCGGGAATGGTCTGGCCTAATAATTCGTAGGGGGATTTTTGAGATTTGTTTCCGAATTTTCAAATTATTCAGCCACTTATTTCAGATATTTCTCTGATTTTTCGGATTTTGATTTGCGATTTCACTATAAAATAAATTAAACATTTTTAAAAAATAATAGTAGTCGGGTGGCCCAAATATTAACTGTGATTGACGGATTTAATTTGCTTGCACCGTTCTTACTAGGTAGGACGGATATGAAATATATTTGTTCAGTTGAACCCAATAGCATACTTTTTCGGTTTGTAGTCTGTGCGTGGATAAGCTACTACCCATGTAGGTGTAGAAAAAATACATAGATTTTGTTATGTTAGGTCTGTTAATTTTTCTTAAAATTCTTTAATCTTCGTTGCATTTTAATAAGAACTTCTGCATATCCCAAATATTCCAATTATTAGAAAAACCTGAACCAAAATAACTGAATAATTCAAGTATATCATGATACACATACTATGCATACTAATGGTATGCTGACTTTCGATTCAAAATTCGTCCAAACCGCGCATGACGTAATGCGGGACGAACTTTCAAGTTATTTTGACACAATTCGATTGAAAAGTGTAAAATAATTTAATAATTTATTTGGTTTTGTGTTAGTAGTGACTATATTTTCCTATATATAACAGGGAAGAACTAAATTAATGTTTAAAATGTCGGTCTGCACGGTGGAGATATTTCCGAATGCCACAAAATATTGGTAAATTCTTATCGAAGAAAGGACAAACTTAATTGAAGTTGCCCTATCCACTTTGAGGAAAGTAGTTGTGAGATTCCTCTTAAACATAGACGCAATAAAAGAAAACTGAATTTCAACAGGTACACGGGCCTCATTAAGCAAAGAAAATAAATCGGTATTTTAAAATTTTAGCAGATAAAACAGTAGGTTCCTGTCCCAATACAACGGTTCTTTTGAAGTAATGCCATGCATGAGCAGGACACGAACACATAATAATAAGATAAATGAACAAAAAAATTGGTTTTGAGTAGTTTCGAAGTAAACTTAACAAAAAATGTTTAAATTTACAAAATAAAAAGTAATTTTTTTGTGTATTTACTTTTTATTAATAAATAATTTGTTTCTGCACACTTATTTTCATTTCACACAATAAGAAAAGAGATTGCAAGAGAACTACCCCGCCCAAAAAGTACAAATTTGAGTCAAACTTATATTTTTAGTCTATTTTTTTTACTTATCTTGTGGCCAGGTTATGGATTTTGTTACAAAATACCTATAATTTATGAGAAAAATTAATATTTTTATTTACCTTAAACCTTCATATTTGTAAACGAATATATTACAAAATAACCAATAAAGCTTAAGTAATTGCATAAAAATCTTCTTCTTCTTCTTCTTCTTCTTCTTCTTCTTCCTTTATTGGGCTATATCACACAGGATAATTTACCCAGACAACAACGGGGAGAGTATCCTTGTCTTGCTCTCAGCAATTGGATTATTAAATTGATATATTTATATATTTCAAAGTAAAAAGCTTATTAATGTTACTACTTGAGTTATATACGTAGAGGGACATACAAAGTTAGTACATAGACGTCACAACACAGGATAAAAACTTTTCTCGCTTGGGGGCAGTCACCAAGCTGAATACAACCAGAAAACTGCCAACGGTAAATAGAAGGACTGAAAGAGGGGATAAAGTATTAGGGTTATAATTGAATTTTAAATATATTTAAAAATTTGATTAGAATGTTTAATCTGCTATTATTGAAGTTAGCCAACATAAAAGAAATGTCAAAGGGAGTACAAAGCTTGGTTTTTGCCAGTTCAGAGTATAAATCAATGTTTGCCATCATATTTATAGGACATTCAAAGATAATGTAGTTTAATGAGCCAATTTGACCACACTCACAAAACATCATCTTTTACTCCTATACCAAATAAGTGATATGGGGATAGGCAATGTCCTGTCCTCATCCTAATTATTGTAGGTAAATGTCTTCTGTACTTGTAGGGAAAATTTAAAAACCAAGGGATTTGATCAAATCGTGGAACGACTTTAGAATAAAAAGAATTCTTCCTACTCTTGAGGCTATTCCATTCTTCAAGCCATCTTGAATTCACAATGTTTCTGACGAATGGAAAGAAATTATAATAGTTTAATTTGATATTCACTGGAATATTCAAAAATCTTCCTATATTTGCCAATTGATCTGCCTTGAAGTTACCCAGAATCCCAGAGTGGCCTGGAATCCATGCCAGAATTATTTTGATATGTTCATATTTTGCGAGTAAGATACCTTCCTTAGTCAAAAATAAATAATGTTCAGTTTCCCTAGAAAAGCATGATCTTGCTATTTTTTGAAGTGCAGCTTTGGAGTCTGAGAGAATAATGGATTAAACGATGTTCTTGTCTAATATTACTTGCAAGGCCTTGTTGATAGCTACAACTTCAGCTGTACAAATTTGAGTATGGAGAGGAAGCTTACTTAAGAATGCATAATCTATATCTGGACTATACACTTCAAACCCTGAGTGACCGGAAGAGTCTATTGAGCCATCGGTAAAGAACTTGGTGTAAGATGGGAATTTCCTGATGATATTCTGATATTGTACAATTCCTATACTTTCAGATTTAGTAACGCCAATGTTTACGATAGGAATGAAGGCCAATTGGGGTTGGAAATCAAATTTATAACATGGTAAAAGCTCTGAAGCCTGATTTCAATTTTCAATTTCCAAAATTGTTGAAAAACTCATTACTTTCAATTAAATAATTTTTTTTCTGCCTATCAAATTGGTTTTCGTTCAAAGCGATCAACGTCTGATGCTGCAATGTGCGCCGTTGATTACGTGGTTGATGGCATTAAAAACGGAAAGTTTGTAGGAGTTACGCTGTGTGATTTGTCAAGGGCTTTTGACTGTGTGTCACACGATATCCTCCTTAAAATGCTTAATTACTTTGGAGTTAGAGGAACTGCGTTGTACTCTTTTAAATCATATTTTAAAGTATATTTTATGATAATAGCTGGTCGAATTTATACCCTGTAAATACAGGAGTTCCGTAAGGATCAATTCTGGGGCCGTTACTTTTTATCATATACATAAATGATTTATGCAATTTCATAAAACCTAATCATAGTATATTATTTACTGATGATGCTACGTTAATCTGTTCAAGTGATAGCTACTCATAATTATCCATTCTAAACAATGAACTGGAAGTTACTGGTTTGCGGCAAATAGCCTTACACTAAATCAAGATAAATTACAAAACATGCGTGCACCAATACCAGATCCTAAAGCTGTAAAATTGTTAGGTTTTACCATAAACAATAAGTTAAACTGGTTATGTCATATTGGACAAAGTTATTTAGCTTTTTAATCTTACTTCGTCACTTAAAAAACATAACTAGTTACCATACTTTAAGAATAGCTTACTTTTCTCTTTTTCAATCTCATATATCATGTGAAATCTCGTTATGGGGAAACTCGGTTGAATCCAAAGCTATTTTCGTTCAACAAAAAAGAGCAATAAGAATTTTGTTGAATGTCGGGTATAGGGACTCTTGTATAGACTTATTTATTAAACATAAAATTATGACTCTTCCGTCTCTGTATATTATGTATATCAGTCTTATTTTAATTCACCAAAAAGCTCCCTCATTTTTTATTCAGTCCAGTATTCACTGTTATGACACTAGAAATACTAACCTAGATATAGGTTATTAAAAACACAATTATGCATTCTAACCACGATGTGTTTCAACTTCCCTAAAATCCCTCAGAGTAAGTAAGTAGTAAAGAGAGGACAGTAAACAATATTTGTGTCGCCATGATAATATGGTCGAGAATTCTAATTAGAGAGAAACAGATTAATATCTCTATCTCTTTATTTGTATTTGTCAGTTTGACAAAGCTTTTCTCAGACAATTATTCCAGTGTTTAATTTAAATTTGTTCGTGTTGTGGTGTTAAAAGTAATTATTATTAATATTGTATTCATAACAAAAAGTCATATTTTGTTTTCACTTCATTAAAAATGCACCTACCTACCTACCTACCTACCTTTTAAAACATTTTATTTTATATTCTACT